TTATTTTGATATATCACAGTGAAAGATTTATCGTCCTCTTTTTTTTTTTTTTTTTTTTTTTTTTTTTAAAAAAAAAAAAAAAAAAAAAAAAAAAAAAAAAAAAAATTAGGAGTTTGAGAATCTTCAGTAATATGCCATCCTAGCCAGACACCGCAGACTGTCCTCCGGCTGGTGAGCCTACACACTGTGAGCCACCGGCAAAGGGCGCAGCGACTCCGGATATCCCTCTCGTCCCTCTCCCCCTCTCCTCCCTCTCCTCCCTCTCCTCTCCTCCTCCCTCTCCCTCTCCCTCTCTCGTCTGTACCACAGAAGAGTCTGAGGGATTCCTGCAGGGAAGAGGATCCTGGGCTTCACAAGTCAGACTCGGGCCTGAGAGTTTTTCTTCATTAGTAGGGGAGGTGGTTTGAAAAGACAGAAAAACACTGAAGTTTAAGCAAAATTCTCCCCTGAAGAGTTTCTGGGCTCAAAGGGACGTCCCTCTCCCTCTCCCTCTCTCGTCTGTACCACAGAAGAGTCTGAGGGATTCCTGCAGGGAAGAGGATCCTGGGCTTCACAAGTCAGACTCGGGCCTGAGAGTTTTTCTTCATTAGTAGGGGAGGTGGTTTGAAAAGACAGAAAAACGCTGAAATTTAAGCAAAATTCTCCCCTGAAGAGTTTCTGGGCTCAAAGGGACCCTCCCCTGGAGGACAGAGCTGCTGGCAGCTGTAGTAAAAAGTCAGCTCTCACAAGAGGGTGCCATGGGGCCCCAGGTTCTCAGCCTTTGGCTAAAATAGAAATGTTTGGCCATTGTTCCAAAATAATATGAAGGCCTGTGTGAAAGACACTGAGTTCACGGTCTCAAGACTTTCCTCACTATAGGGCCCTTGGGGAGGCTGGGACATCACCTTCTCTTGGAGCTAAGAAGACCCATTGGGAAGTGAAAAGGAGTTTCATTCAAGGGCTGGCTTTAAGTCCATAGGAATTTTGTTGTTTTGTGTTGTGTTGCTTTGTTGAGATAGGATCTTACTGTATATCTCTAGCTGGCCTGGAACTCACTGAGCTCCTAGAGATCTGCCTGCTTTTGCCTCCTGAACGCTAGGATTGAAGGCATGCACCATCATTCCTGGTAAGTCTATAGGAATTTAAAGTTCAGGTTCTCTGCAGACTTTGAGACCCATGTTCCTGTACCCTCTTAATGAAGAGCAGGACCACTGAGCCCTTTGTTCATCCTCCTCAAGGCCCCAAACAATGGAGCCCTGAGCCTATGTTGTTCTCCTTGTCTCTGCCTGCCTCTAGGCTGTTCTGCCCAAAGACTAGGCTGGTGGGATAGCAGGTAAAGGTGCTTGCTGCCAAGTCTGATCTCCTGATTCAATCCCCATGATTCACATGGTGGTGGTGGAAGGAGAGAGCCAGCTCCCACAAATCGTCCTCAGACCTCTACACACGCATGTGTGCACTGCACACAAATGCCCACACACTTACATGTGACACGTTCACAAACACACAAAAGTAAAGAAATATATTAATAACTTTAAAAAGATCTATAGCAACTCCCATTGCAAGGTTCAAATCCCTTGGACTAGCATCTAACCATTGAGCTGGCCCTAGCTGATTATTTGAGTTTCTTTGTAAATGCCCTCCAGCCACACTAAACTTCTGGCCTTCTGGACAGCTCCTGCCTCAACTTGTCATGTCCTGTGCCCCGCTCCCCCCACCTGCTACCTGTACTGTGCCTCTTAGGTTCTCGCAGTCCCTGTTCTCTCCAGCAGATGGCACCCGGTAACAAGCTGCAGGTCCTCTGTGGCAAAGTCAATGATTTGCTCTCATATAGAGGTTTCTTAGGGAAAGTTTCATTTACCCAGGATAGTGGGCTCAACGGGGAAACTGGTGCCCAGTCTATGTCATTCCATCGGGTGAGAACACAGCGTTTGGAAAGCTGTGCCCTCGCATTATGCACTTGCCTCATGTAAGAGGGAAAGAGCTGTTCCCTCAGACTATCATGATGTTCTTGTCAGTGAGGAGCCAGAACCCCAACCCAGCCTGGCTTCAAAGATTATGGAAGTTCTCTCTCACAGCAGGAAAGTAGGGATCAGAGATATTACCAGGGCCCCTTGTCGTTCCTGTCATGCTATCCTTAGATGCTGCTTGTGTCCTCAAGCTACTCTACACGTGGTCAACAGGTGGCCATTGGGTGGGAACCTGGACTAACTACGTCCCCTCATTCCGGGGCACTGGCCCTCATCCAGGGTGCCACAGGTGACATCTGGCCATGTTCATTGACTGGCCTCATTCTCCATCTTTGGGAAGATTCTTCTGTTTGGATTTAAAATCTTGTTTGAGAAGTTTTAGCTCCTGCCTCAGCACTGGCCAGCCTCAGCTCTAAGTCGTGAAGGCAACCAGTGCATCCACAGTGCTTGGGAACACCGCATGCCTCATGTAGCTCTTTATTGACTCTCAGGCGCTCCAACCCTCTTTCTTTTCTCCTCCACTGTAGACTTCCTCTAGGAGACATAACTGAATGAAATGGCTGTACATCAGAAAATGGTTGGGTGTCAGCATCTGCAAGTTTCAACTAATGGATCATTGCTGACCTCCATATTGCTTCCAGTGAGTAGCCCAAGTTCCAGGAGAAAAGCCATCTAGGAGGCCAAGGAGCTGGGTTTAGAATGAGTGTACCTGACCTTTATTTCCAGATTCCCCAGTAGAACACTCTACACTATCCCAAATGTGAAACAGTTAAGAGGTAGAGGGGCTGTGGCTTCTTGTGACAGCTGAAAAGCCATCCTCATCCTCTCAGCTCTGCAACCAAGTGATGCCAATGTAACTCTGAGCCAGCTCATCTAAACAAACAGCTGTGGGACTTGGGAAATGACTCAGTCAATAAAGTGCTTGCCAGTTAAACATGAAGACCTGAGTTCAGTTGACAGCAGCCACATAAAAAGCCAGATGTAGTAGTGTCCACCTGTAGTCCTAGCACCAGGAGGTGGGGACAGGAGGATCCCTGGAATTCACTGGTCAGTCAGTATAGCCAAATCAGTAATCATCAGGTTCAGTGAGAGACCCTGTCTCAAAAATAGGTACAGTTGGGCATAGTGGTGCACGCCTTTAATCCCAGCCCCTCAGGAGGCAGAGACAGGTGGATTGCTGTGAAATTGAAGCCAGCTTGGTCTATATAGCCGGTTCCAGGCCAGCTGGGGCACAGGGAGACCCTGTCTCAAAAAAAAAACAGAAAAGATTATATGTATATAATATATATTTATCCTTTTTTATGTATATCTTTTACCATATATGTGTTATATATCATATACATACATATATATATATATATAGTGGAGAGCAATTAAGGAAAGGTACCTCTGGCCTCAAAACACACATGTGCAACACTACATATACACACAAAATATTAAAAATAGCAGTTTGTCATTTGAATTATAACCACTTGTTTTTCTGGGCCAGCTGTAGGCCAGAATCACCTGGAAGCTTACTGAAGAAGCAGGTATGGATGGACATGCCCAGTGCTTGGCATTGTGAGAGTTAGCTGTGACTCCCTACTGGGCTGACTCCTTTCCTCTCTCTCCCTTTACAGGCTTTTTCTGGTCCTCTAGCACATGTAGGGATGGGTGAAGGCCACCTGGCCTGTGGCACTGCCCAGCAGCCATCATCTCACTAGGGCCCCTGGTGGTGATAGGATGCACCTTTCAGCTGTGTTCAGTGCTCTCCTGGTGTCTGTGCTGGCTGCTGTCCTGTGGAAGTACGTGCGGCTGCGGGAACATGTGGCCACCCTGGAGGAGGAGCTGGCCCACAGGCAGAAGTCCCTGGATCCAGTCCAAGGGCTGAGGATCGACTACCCAAAGGCCCTGCAGGCCCTCATGGAGGGTGGTACCCACATGGTGTGCACGGGCCGCACACACACAGACCGCATCTGCCGCTTCAAGTGGCTCTGCTACTCCAACGAGGCCGAGGAGTTTATTTTCTTCCATGGCAACTCATCCGTCATGTTGCCCAACCTGGGTTCCCGGCGCTTCCAGCCAGCCCTGCTTGACCTGTCCACAGTGGAGGACCACAATACCCAGTACTTCAATTTTGTGGAGCTGCCCGCTGCAGCCCTGCGCTTCATGCCCAAGCCAGTGTTTGTGCCTGATGTGGCCCTCATCTCCAACCGCTTCAACCCCGACAACCTCATGCATGTCTTCCATGACGACTTACTCCCGCTCTTCTACACACTTCGGCAATTCCCTGGCCTGGCCCAGGAGGCCCGGCTCTTCTTCATGGAGGGCTGGGGCGAGGGTGCACACTTTGATCTGTACAAGCTTCTTAGCCCCAAGCAGCCACTGCTACGGGCACAGCTGAAGACACTGGGCAGGCTTCTCTGCTTCTCCCATGCTTTTGTGGGTCTGTCCAAGGTCACCACCTGGTACCAGTATGGCTTTGTCCAGCCCCAGGGCCCAAAGGCCAACATCCTTGTCTCCGGCAACGAGATCCGGCAGTTCACCCGCTTCATGACAGAACAGCTGAATGTGAGCCATGCTGGGGCACCCCTAGGTGAGGAATATATTCTGGTCTTCAGCCGCACTCAGAACAGACTCATCCTGAATGAGGCAGAGCTGCTGCTGGAGCTTGCCCAGGAGTTCCAGATGAAGACCGTGACTGTGTCCCTGGAGGACCACAGCTTTGCCGATGTCGTGCGGCTGGTCAGCAATGCCTCCATGTTGGTCAGTATGCACGGGGCCCAGCTTGTCACTGCCCTCTTCCTGCCTCGTGGAGCTACCGTGGTTGAGCTCTTCCCCTATGCTGTCAATCCTGACCACTACACCCCCTATAAGACTCTGGCCATGCTGCCGGGCATGGACCTGCAGTATGTAGCCTGGCGGAACATGATACGAGAGAACACAGTCACACACCCAGAGCGGCCCTGGGACCACGGGGGCATCACCCACTTGGATCGAGCTGAGCAGGCCCGTATCCTGCAGAGCCGTGAGGTCCCAAGACATCTCTGTTGCCGGAACCCTGAGTGGCTCTTCCGAATCTACCAGGACACCAGGGTGGACATCCCATCCCTCATGCAGTCCATTCGGCATGTGGTGAAAGGTCAGCCAGGGCCTCGGAAGCAGAGATGGACAGTCAGCCTGTACCCTGGCAAGGTACGGGAGGCACGATGCCAGGCATCAGTGCAGGGTGCCACTGAGGCCCACCTCACAGTATCTTGGCAGATCCCATGGAACCTCAAGTACCTGAAGGTGAGGGAGGTGAAGTACGAGGTGTGGCTGCAGGAGCAGGGGGAGCACACCTACGTGCCTTACATGCTGACCCTGCAGAACCACACCTTCACTGAGAACATCAAGCCTTTCACCACCTACCTGGTGTGGGTCCGCTGCATCTTCAATAAGAGCCTCCTGGGACCTTTTGCAGATGTGCTGGCGTGCAGCACGTAGCCAGCAGGCCCTGGCCAGGCCTTGGGAGGAGGCTTTTACAGATCGGCATTCCTGGGCCCGCTATCCTGCTGGCAGCTCTGGTGTTTACTTATCTATTTATTGAGTAGGCCTGGGCTGGGCCTGCTACCTGTGTCTTCTTACTGCCTCTAGGGTGTGTTCACAGAACTCTTTGCCTAAAGAGATGGTGCCGGTCCCCTTCTGCCACCCTGAGCTCCCTGCCTGGGAGGAATTCCTTAATGAGGAGGGCGATGGGGAGAGCAGGACAGTCAGATCCCAGGGGGCTATCTCACTAGGTGATCTCACTCTTGCCTACCATTGCCTTTGCACCAGTATCCAGACTTCTGGATACAGAGTGATCATGTGGTTGGCAGGCTGGGTGGTTCATCTCTGAGTGGCACCTGTAGCCAAGTGAATGGTGTATTTGGAACAGTCATTAAAAGGTTATGAACATCTTGACCAAGTCTGTTAAGTGTTTTGTTAGCATATATTAATTATACCTGATAATGGGTTTCATTATGACGTTTTCACACATGTACACAATGTATTTCACTTATGTACCCCCTCTCACTGACCCCCTTCCTCGTCCCAACTAGCTCTTAAAACTTTCATGCCTGTGTGTGTGTGTGTGTGTGTGTGTGTGTGTGTGTGTGTGTGTGTGTGTGTGTGTTTTTATGACCCAATGAGTTTTGTTTAGGGTTTGTTTACAGGAGCATGAGCATCTAATCAGTGCCTATACCTCTGAGGAAAAAGCATCCTCCACTAACCATTAACTGAATAAATCCTCAGTGAACGCTGAGATCCATGAGCCCCTCCCTTGTCCATGGCAGGATGCTGATGGTCCTGGTCTTGTATGGTAACTGGAGCTGCTGTGAGTTCAGGAGTGCAACAGCCATGTCATAGAAGTCAGCATGCCACACTACTTCCCGACCCGTCCTTTTGCCCCATCCAAGATGTTCCTTGAGCCTGGATGATAGAGTTGTCCCGTTTATGACTGAGCATTGATGGTAGCTTATTCTCAGCAGTTATGAATCTCCAGTTACTGATGACCACTGCAAAAAGAAGCTCTGACAGTGGAACTAGTCTGTGGGCCTAAACAGTTATTTAGAAGGCAGTTTGACAAGCACATCATGTCCATTTAGCAAAACAACTGCAGTAGCTTCCCTCACTAGGGACTGTGACCTCCCCAGCCACAAACTTTTGAATAAGTTTGCAGTATTAAATGCGAATTCCCTCCTGTGGAGTGGGCTTCAAATCCAATCAGAAAATAGTTACCCCATTAACAGACTTGCCACTATTTTGTCAGTGGGCTCATCTTGCCTGGCTTGTTGGTATTGTTGCACACAGAGTCTACAGCTGAGTAAGACCGTTGATGCCAATCTCCACTCCCCAGTGACCTGCACAGCACCTTCATACATTGTGCAGCTCCCGGTTCAAATTTCTCTATGTCCTGAGACTAGGCGTCATCTAGTTCTGGTGAGCACCAACAGTAGTGGCAATTGCCTCTATGTAGGTGGCCTTGGGAGCTTCCTTGGTCAGTAACTCAGAAAGAGGTAGCCCTTAGTCAAGTCTTTTTATTGGACATCAAGAAGCAGGGTTGGCAGTCAATACCCAAGAGCCCTTTACTTTTGATTGTCAATTGTTCTAGTTTGCTTTCTGTTGCTGTGATAAACACTATGACCAAAACCAACTTGGGAAGAAAAGGATTTACTTCAGCTTACAGGTTACAATCCATCATCATGGGAACCCAGGGCAGGAACTGAAGCTGAAACCTTGGAGGATCCTGCTGACTGGCTTGCTTGTCCCCCAAGGCTCACATTCAGCTACCTTTCTTACACAGCTCAGGCCCACCTGCCCAGGGATGGTACTGCCCACAATGTATTGGGCCCTCCTATGCCAACTAGCAGTTAAGAAAATGCCTCAGACATGTCCATAGACCAGTCTGATAGAGGAAATTTCTCAATTGAGAGTCTCTCTTCCCAGGTATGTCTAGGCTTGTGTCAAGTTGACAAAACTAACCAGCACATGAACCAAAGAGATGCAGTGGGATAGCGTCAGGACTGAAGCAAACAGCTTGATCAGAGCTCATTGCGGATACCCATCTACATAGGCTACATTATCACCCACAGAAGCTGGGAGAGGAAGAGCTTATCAATGGGGGAGTTTTGTAGACTCAGCTTGACATCCATATTTGACCTGTATGGCTGTGTCTGGTCATACATTCTCCCTGATAGCAGTCAGCAATGAAACCACACACAAGTCCTCATTAAAGTCAGGAATGAGATGAGGATATTTCTGTTGTTGCTATTATTCAACTTTTCTCCAGGGATCCTAGCTAAGGTCATAAGACAACATAAAAACTGGAGAAATGAAAATGTAAAATTATGTGAAAATTTGATTTTCTACCTAAAGACTCTTAGAATAGACATATATTTATTTAGAAAAAAGTCTAATCAAAATGCATATGATATTGCATGCTCGTGATCCCAGCCATCAGACGCTGAGGCAGGAGGATGGCTGCAAGTTCAAGTCCAGCAAAAACTACATAGTTAGGGGCCAGCTTTGACTGCATAGCAAGACTTTGTCTCATAAGTAAAAAAGAAAGGAAGGAAGGAAAAGAAAGAGAAAAGGAAAACTCATTTAAAAATTTTATCTGTTGTGTGCATGTGTGTGTTTGTGTGTGCACCATAGCATATGTATGCAGGTCAGAGGACAACTTGCAGGAGTCTGTTCTCTTTCCACCATGTGGTCCTGGGGGTAGCACTCGGGTTGTCAGGCTTGACAACAAGCACTCTTACCTACTGAGCCATCTTGCCAGTCCTGGAGAATTCATTTTTCAATACCAGTAAAACATAAAATTTTTCATTAAATGTGAGCTTACTGTTAGAAAGAAATTTTAAAATGTTACTAGACATTATTAAAGTGGACTGATAAACCAAATTCCTGAGTATGCACACCCAGTAGTCAAATTATTCTGACTCCTGCTCACTAAACACTCAAGTCCAAACACCAGTGGGATTTTGAGGACTGTGGAGGAGTGCATGATTTATCATTCAATATTATCATCAAAGAAAAATGCAAAAATTATAACAAAGAAAAAATTTAAGTAGAATTTAAAAATGGAAACGCCCTCCAAATAGAAAAGAACTTTAAAAGTGTCCTACTGAAGCAGGAATTTAAGAAACACTATCAGTAGAACAGAATTCAGCTCACAAATGGACATCTGTGTGCTTGGTAATTTAATATCTGATAAGAATATCAAGCTGGGTGCGGTGGCACCTGTCTTTAATCCCAGCACTCAGGAGACAGAGGTCAACCTGGTTTACATAGTGAGTTCCAGACCAGCCAAGGCTGCACAGTGAAAAAAAAAAAAGTTCTTGAATAATGACTGGAACAATTGAAGATCAGTAGATCAAGTCAAGGAAAATAAAACTTAAGTTACACCTCTAACTTGTATTCTCGAATTCAAATTTTATCCAAATGTGAACTAAACCAAACTTAGGTATATCAATAGGGGCTGGAGAGCTGGCTCAGCAGGTAAGAATATTTGCTGCTCTTGCAGAGGACCCAGGTTTAGTTCCCAGCACTCCCATGGTGGTTAACAACCATCCATAACTCCAGTCCAAGGGAATCTGATGCCCTCTTCTGACCTCCATGGGCATTGTATGACATTAGTGCACTTATATACATGTAGGAAAAACACACATGAAATAAAAAATAAAAGTTAAACACACCAACAGTATTTCCAGAATCTTGAAGGTGTGACAGCCCTTCTAAGAAAACAAGACCCTTGGAAGACTCAAAGGCAAAGGTGAACAAATCTGACTACATGGAAATTATAACTTTCTACTTGGCAAAACTCCATAAACAAAATCAATACACAATGACAGGCTGGAGAAAACACAGATATAACAGAGCAAAGACTGGGTGAAATAATCAGAGTCAAATCTCTAATGAAGCAACAAAGAAAGGACAAAGGTAAAAGGAAAAGTCAGTTCACAGAACACACAATGTCTGGGATAGAAAGAGAAGACAACTTCAATAATGAGAAAGGAGCTGCAGGGGCTTTAAAGATGTATTTTTAATGTATTTGAGTGTTTTGCCTGCATGTATGTATGTACATCACCTGCATGCAGTGCCCTTGTAGGCCAGAAGAGGGCCTGGAGCGATCCTCTGGAACTAGAGTTCCACATGGCTGTGAGCCACCATGTGGGTGCTGAAAACCAAACCTGGGTCCCCTGCAAGAGCAGCCAGTGCTCTTAACTGCTGAGCTGTCTCTCCATCATAAGGAAATAACAGTTTTAAAAATAGGCTTCTCAGGTTGGGGATGTAGTTCAATTGGCAGAGTGCTTGTCTAGCATGCATCTTGCGTTTGATGCCCAGATTCCCAGCACCACACAAATTAGGCATGGTGGTACATAGCTGTAATCCTACCACTCATGAGGTAAAGGCAGGCGGATCAGGAGTTCAAGATCCCCCTTGACTACATAGCATGTTTGAGGACAGCCTGGGCTACATGAGACCCTGTTTCAAATAAAAATTAGATAAGCTTCCCTATCAGATAGTAAAAGACAAACACCAAACATTAGGGAGCATGGGAAAAGAAACAGTTATCTGCCCTCTGGTAGAAGTACTAAGTCACAGAACATTTCTGAGAGCCATTTGGCAATTCCTCTCAAAGAGTGCCCATACCTTTGACCTAGAAACCCAATTGTGGGAATCCCACTGTCCCACACATACTTATGCTGTCACACCCATGCAGCTGTATTTATATGTGATGAAAAATCAGAGCCATTAAATGTTGAGTATTATGAGCACAGCTAAAAAGACATGACATATTCCAGCCTTGGAATCCCATGTCATCATCCACAGAAATTAGGTCAATTCAGAATATAGTAAATAAAGGAAAAATACCCCACTGACAAGCAAAGTATGACCTCGCTTCTGATTTCTTAATTTACATGAAGTGTGAGCTTGAACAAATCCATGCACACTCACATCTCTAGAGTGAGTCTGGGACTTTCACTTTTTGTCTTACATGTGTCTGAATTTGTTTTTATTGAATATGTATTACTTTTATACTTTTAAAAGATTTTCAAATTTTTAATTTGTGTGTGTGTGCGCGCGCACACAAGTGTCTGCCAGAGGCCAGAGGAGGGCCTGTGAGTTGAAGAGTTGGCTGTGAGTTGCCTTGTGAGTGCTGAAAACTGCAAAAAGCAGCAAGCACTCTGCGATGGCTAATCCTGGGTGTCAACTTGACTGGGTCTGGGATTAACTGCAATGAGAGAGATCTTCCTGATTGGGTCATCTGAAGCTGGAAGACACGCCCTAAATGTGGGCATTACCTTCTGATGGCAGCCCGTATAAAAGGCCATGGCAGAGGAGAATGCTGGGCTTCTTGCTGCTTGCCTTCTCTCTCGCTGGTGAGTTCATCTTGCTGCTGTAGATTGAAGACTAGCTGATCTTTTGGAATTTGTCAGACCTTCAGTGCCAGATTGGGACTACTGAGACATCCAGCCTTGTGGACTGAGCAACTACGGATTCTCAGCCTCTCCAGTGTGGTGTGGCCATTGTTGGACTACTCGGACTCTATCCTGTGAGCTAAGCTGATAAATCTCTATACATATATATTCATCCTACTGGTTTTGTTTCTTTGGAGAACCCTGACTAATACACACTCTAAACCATTGAATCATCTCTCTAGCCACATACTGTTATGATTTTTATATCCAAAAATCATAACCATGTAAGAATGAACCTTTAAAGCTTAGTGCTTAGTTTCTCAGACCTGAGTTAGTTTCAGCCAGAGCAAATTTCAGCCACAAGTTTGAGTCCATGAAGACCTCTTTGGCTTGTCCTACACGCTTGTGAGGGGAACCACACATGCCACACACACCTACATACCTCTGCACACATGCACATACATGTACATGTTCAGGAAGAAGCTCATAAAATATTCTTGAACATATTTATTGGTGTATGGGAGTTGATAGCCAGAGCTGAGATGGGAGATGGGAATGTGAGATTGAAGACCCAATACCCTGTCCACTGTCCTCAGGGGTTGAGCTGTTCCATGGCATCCATGTGCTCCTCTAGCTTCTAGCTTTTCCCATTTGTCAATTGATGGGCAACTGTTGAGAGGAATAGAGGCCATTGGAGGGACAGTCACCAGCTCAGGTTTGCACTGTGCAGAGCCCTCCAGTAAGGTGAGCCCTGCCCTGGTAGTGACAGTCTCATAGGTCCTCATCCCTGAACAGTGTGAGGTTGTGCTTCTGGATGTGTCTCAGCAGGACCTGTCCTCGCTGCTCCAGGGTCTGGAGGACCTGCTTCAGACCACGGGCACCACCTTGGCTCTCCCAGAACACTGGGTCCATTCGCAGCGACTTGAGCAGCAGGTTCTGTAGACACCCTGATTTAAGAATCTGCACAGCAGACTCAGGAAACCTGGAGCAGAGGGAAGAAAGGAAAAGCCAAAGTAAGCTCAGAGAGTTCCGACATGAAGTCAGTCAGCCAGAACTGGCCCAGCTGGGGAACCCTGACAGAGTCAGCCAGGGAAGTCCCCAGACTTATGCCTGCTAGCTCCTTATCAAAGAAATCTGTGGAATCAGAGGACGAACTCTCCATTGGGTCCCATCCCACGGTAAAGCCTAAAGAATTGGCTCTGCCACCCTGGGTTCAGCTTGACACAAACGAGCCCCCCCACAAACCCCTGAGAAGGCTGAGCTAACTACTGGGTACTGGGAGAGAAGGAGGAAGGACAGGCTCTTAAACTGTCTCTCCCACCATGAGTCAAGGATAAGCAATCCTTCATGCACTGCAGCAGGGTAGCCAGTGGTCTGCAGAAATTTGAGGCACTCTGGGTATGGGGGGATAGGCCTGCCAACCGTTTCCCTTCTCAGCCTTTCCAGGACCCCCAGCTTCCTGCAGCCTCCCATTCAAGAGCTTTGGTCAGATAGACATTGGACTTCTCAGGAGCTGTGGTTCAGGGTCTCAGAGCATCCAAACCTCATCCCCTGAACCTCCACCCTTGTTCCTGGATCCTCACCCATCTATGCCCTCCAGCAGCCGAAAGTTCAACTTATCCTTGGGATGCTGAAGGTTGCCAGCATTGTCGATGTACACCAGGTGAGATGGATTGCTGCTCCGGACCTCGGGGGAAGAAGATGGACAGGGACAGTGGGTAAGGGTGGAGAGTGGCCGGTACCACCCCACCAGTGCTGATGGGCTGAGCATCCTCAGGTGATAGTACCACAATCCACCTGATTTGTCCACATGATCCCATGACTGAGGGCCTCCTTTACATCAGCCACTGTGAATCCTTCCAGCAGCCTTAGAGGAAGACACTAGAATGATATTAACCTCATTTTACAAGAGCTGAGTCATTTAAAAATTAGTCTATATAAGATCACACAGCTAATAAGTAGCATGGCTGTTTTGAATCTGGACCCATAGCACTGAGCCACAGCATCTGTTAAATTGTAAGGCAGGGGCCTGATTGCCGGTTTGGTGGCCAATAGGGTCAGCAGCATGGGTGGGAAAAGATAGATGCAAAGATGTTCCTCAGGGCCATCAGCTTCATAAGATGTCACACACATGCATGCTGCTCTCTCTCTCTCTCTCTCTCTCTCTCTCTCTCTCTCGTGCCCAAGTATCACCAAGAACACACAGCTGTGTCTTTCTTCCCTAGAGAGCACTGAGCATACCCTGTTTCCACAGGAAGAGAGATTAGTGTCTCCCAAACCCTTTCTACACTAAAACCAAAAACAGAATTCTCTAGAACCTTAAAAATATGGTGTGGGGCTAGGAAGATAGCTCAATAGGTAAAGTGCTTGCTTTGTATTTATGAGGACCTGAATTTTATCCCTCAGAAACATATTTTTTAAAAAACTGGGTACAGTTGTACATGCCTGTAATTCCAGTACTGGGGAGGCAAAGACAGTAGGGTTCTGGAGTTCACTGGCCAGTTAGTCTAACTGAATCAGTGGGTTCTAAGTTCAGTGAGAGACCCTGCCTCAAAAACTAAGCTGGAGACTGATAGAAGACATCCAATGTCAACCTCTGGCCTCCACATGCATGCACATCACACACACACACACAGATACACAAATCTGATGTTTGAGGGAATAGGAGGTACTCTCTTCCAGAAGAGAGAGAGAGAGAGAGAGAGAGAGAGAGAGAGAGAGAGAGAGAGAGAATGAGAATCACACATTCTCCAAAATCCCATGCTTTCCCATAACCCTTTCTAGCAACCTGGACTTAAACTATGAACTGATATCTTCAGGACCCCAGCATCTTCCTCTCTCAGTTCTCAAACTCTGCCTGTAAAAGACCTCTGGGTTCCCTGAAGTGACTTGGGAGGCAGTATAGACAGTGCAAACAGGGCCCTATGCCCCATTCTACCTCAACCAGATCCTCAAAGAGCCATTTTGCCTATTTTCTATATTTTAGCCTCCTGAAAATATTTAAGCCAAGGTTCCACTTCCAAAACAGGACAGGGTCAGGGAATCCCAGAGCCAAGTCATCTCTGAAATGTACCAATAGCATCCTCTGCACGAAAGGCAAACCCAGGTCTCACATAACAAGGGACTGTGGAGCGGTGAAGACATACCAGGATATGGACCAGCCGCAGTTCACCCGGGTTCTGGCATTTCTCTCGGAGCCTCTCTTCCACACAGGGGTCTGAAGACTCAGGCTCGAAGCCACAGCAGTAGCGATCCAGGCGGTCGTGGACCTGTTGAGAGGGGTGGTATGGTGCCCATCCTCACCAGGCCCAATAGCAAGGCCACCTGGCCTGCTGATCCCTGTACCACCCCAGGGCCACTCTTGGACAAGACTCAGGGGCTCTCTGTGCTGGTCAGCTCTGTACTGGCTTCCAGCTAGGAGGGAAACTCCTGGCCTCTGTGGCAGCTTGCTCCACACACCTGGAGCTGCTTGCTAAAGTCTCAGACCAGCACAGATTCTACTCAGTGTCTAGTGCTCAACCTGTATGGCTCTTTAAGCTGTAGCTTAATGCTAAAGGACCTCTGAGTTCAACCCTGTGCATGTCTGCTTAGGTAGACCTGCAGAGGACCCCGTTCATTCCTCAAGTAGCAAATGCTACATCAAAGTGAGACCCATGGAGGGAGGGAGCACCTTTCCCTGAGACTCTGGACATGTGTTAAGCACTGTTAAATCACTATTCAAACCACTATTAATGTTAAGGATACATTCTTTAATTTTTGTGTGTATGAGTGTTTTGCCTGCATGTGTGTATGCCATGTGAGTGCAATGCTCGTGGAGGCCAGAAGAGGACACTGGACTCCCTGGAACTGGAGTTACAGTCGGTTGTTAGTTGCTGTGTGGGTGCTGGGAACCAAACCCTGGTCCTCTCCAGGAGCAGCCAGTGCTTTTAGCTGCTGAGAAGTCTCTCCAGCCCCAGGTTCTTTAAATTTATGTTGTAAGCTCTCTTCCTGATGTTGATTTTCCTGTAAACAGGCAAAGACAGTGACTAGGGAATTTGACTCCATAATCAGTAACTGCTGAATGCTCCTTTGCTGCCTTGGCTACCTAGAACAACAACAACAACAAAAACAAAAACAAACAAACAAACAAAAAAACCTGTCAGTCAAATAGCCAGCCAGACTTCCCTTACACCAGCGCCAGTCACCACTCCACAGACACCTTGAGACAACTACACAGATTGCTATTTATCACCACAGTTCCTGAAGGCTCATTCACAGCCAGGGCTGTTTGAAACAGTCAGTACCAGAAGTTTTGTTAACATAGACTCTAGGCAGACCCTGTGACCACTTCTACTTTGGCCAGAAAGGAGAGCCCTTCCCTAGTAGAGGGACTACAGGCTGTAGCTAAAAGACAAGGCCATGATTGATCCAAAACACACCCTAAATGTCTATGATGGGTATTAAGAGGCAAAGCTGTGACTGGCCCAAATAACTGGCTGTAATTGGTCCAAAACAAATGGCTGTGATTGGGCCAAATACCTCTTTCTCATAAGTCATAAGACTCATTTAGTGAGTCCTTCAGGAGACACCATGCTGCACTGCCGCCCCTGGTGTTACAGCATTAGACCCAATAAAGGCTTCTCCCACGTGGCCTATTTTCTACTTTCTGTAGTGCTGGCTAAACTAGTAACAAGAAGAAAGAAGCAGTAGAGACTGCCAGTCACACTATAAAAGTCACAGGGCAACTGTCTGCTTGACAGTGGATCTGGGTAGCAGCCCCACCCCCAAGCAGTCCTGGAGAGGAAGGCACCCCAAGTGGCCCCAGTGGAAGCTAAATAAGGAAAGAGTGGGGCAGCTGGAGAAGCAACTGAACACTTTGTGATTGGCCAGGACAGGAAAAGGGGCAACAGCAGTAGAGAGCTGAGAAGTAAGTAGAGAGAGCTGACAAGAAAGAAAGGAGCTGGGCTGGGGAGAGGACGCTGCTATTAGAGCACTTACTGCTCTTCCAGAGGGCCACAGGTCAGTTCCCAGCAGCCATGTTGAGTGGCTCACAACTACCTGTAACTCCACCTCTAGGAGATCCAATGCCCTCTTCTGGCCTCCTTGGGCATTTGCACACATGCATACAACACATGCACGCACGCACATGCGCACGCATGCACACTCACACGCAAATACAAATAATAAATCTTTAAGAATAGAAAGTAGAGAGCTGTGGCTGAGGAAGGATAAAGGCCATGAGGAGCTGAAGAGATGTGGCAGGCCCCCTGGGTGCCAGAATAGTTCTAGAGAGGTACCAAGTCTTTAGAACCAGAGGTATGGAACCTCAGTCTGAGAGCTGTAACAGCAGCCACTGCCAAGGGCCAAAAGTCTGGGTACCCACAGCCTCCAGGGGACTATAACACTTGTAGGTCTGAGGGTCCCCACACCTGAATCCCCCACATCCAAGGCCGGCATGGGAGCTATGACACTAGAGGACACCACTTGCCATCTCTACCTGCTCACTGACAGCACAGATTGTTGCCAAATACCAAGGGAAACAAAGGCTGACACTTGGAGAGCTTTTCATTACTTATGATTTTTATCCCAGTAGAGCAAAAGAACCTCAGACAGCTGATTGGTGACAAAGAATCCCTCCCTCTCAGAGGTTCTAGTCCCTCTGTGATGGTCTAGACAGATGCTGGGCTCAGCTGGGCTGCATGAGAGCTTTCCATTCCAGGCTTCCTGTGCAATGGAAGGCCTGAGGGGCTTCCCGAGTGTGGTGTGGAGTTTGGCCACCCATTCAATACATGCACTCAGGGATGGATGATACCCCTGGCATTTTGAAGTGGCTCAAAGGAGTTCAATAACACTTGACATTTGCTTCTGTTATGCTACTATCCGAAGGAAACAGCCACAATCACCACAGCAGGTACTAAGACATTCCATACATCTGCCAGAATCCTGACCTACATGACGGTATTACCTGCTGTGTACAACCAAACTGAGAATGGGCAGGCCTAAAACACCTGCAAAGGTCCCCATCATCCTGGGAGTTCCCAGGTAAAGGAATCATCTGAATCCTGGGTACACTTTGCCCTGCCCATGAGGCAGACATAAAATTAATGTCCTTCTACCCAGAGGCAATCTCCAGGAAAGTAAGATGGGGGTATCAACCTTGAAGATGATTATGTGGTAATAAAAACTGCATCTGGAGCTAGAGAGATGGCTTGGCCATTAAGCACTTACTGCCCTTGCAGAGAATCACAGTTTGGTTCCCAACACCCACATCAGGTGGCTCACCTGTAATTCAGCTCCAGGATATCTAATGCCCTCTTCTGGCTTCTTTGGGCACTTACACACGTGGCACACATACACATATACATATAAATTAAAATATCTAAACGCATCTGATCTTTGTCCCAGGTTCCTATCACAGAGCTTCTAGAACCATGGTAACTTCTTGAGTGACAGCAGCCTTTATTATCCGTGAGGACTCTGCTGTTCAGGGCAAAGACTCTAGATAGCACCCTATGGGGGTTGGTCACCAGAAAGACAGATGAATGGGAGTGGGGCATTTGGAAGCCACTCCCCCAGCCAATCTCCACAGAGAGGGCAGGAGGGCTAGAGGTAGGATCATAAGAATTATTACACAATGAAGCTCAGAGAATGTCCAGGATGGTAACAGACTCTGTGGGAGTGTGGCACTCCCCAACTCCACAGGGACAAAGCTGCACTACAGCCCTTCATTCCTTCTATGTTCCCACCAGGCTGTTCACATGTATCCTTCATAGCAGACCAGTAAAACGCAAGCAGTGTTTTCCTAAGTTCTGTGAGTTGCTCTGGAAAATTGTTTAACTTGAGGAGGAAGCTCCAAGATCCATCAATTTATAGCCAATGATCATAAAAACAGGTGACTCAGGACTTGTGACTGGCAACTGAAATAGTGGCTGACTTATGGGACTGAGTCCTTTGACTTGTGGGATTGAAGGAGGGCTCTAGTCACTGACCTAACCAAATCCATCTTGTCCCTCTGTGTGCCTCCTTAATATTTCCTCTGAGTCACGCTCCCCTACAGTCACCTTGGCTTCCAGAAGATGGATCCATGGACATTTTTGTGACTAGTGGCTAAAACTGGACTCAAGCAGGGGTAAGCCTTGCAAGGCAGACCACCCCAAATGAGGGCAACTACCTATAATGGTGAGGCTACACCCTGGAGATGGAATGATCATCTCACAAGACCCAGATTATCCTCCTCAAACAAAGGTAGCATCTTATAGGATAGACCACTCTTCAGAATCTAAACTGAGACAGTATTCAACCAGACCACACCTTGACCAGGTGACCACACCTTAATGATGCAGACCTCCTTCCCTAGTTCTTCCTCTATTTAAACCTAAAGCTCATGCCAGTCTCTTGAAGATGAACTTGAGGGTCACTGCCTCCCTCTCGCTGCTCCTCTCTCCTTTCTCTGTTTTTGTCATCATCATCTCTTTAATTGGCATGTTGGGACAGGTGGCTAAGCCTTGCCCGTTGGGGCTGCCAGAGACAGGTTTTTCCCTGAAACCCCAGTTATAGATCTGATATTGACTGCAGATAGGCAGTGTCAGACTCTGAGTTGATGGGCATCAGGTTGGTGCTGGAGAGTTGACTGGCATCTAAGAAATGTCCCTTGAATGGCCATTACTACCACCAGGGCCACATCTGCCTCATTTCCTCCTCACTGCAACCTCACGGGGAAGGAACTAATATCCTCATTTTGTATTTGGGGATACTGACTTCCCCTGACAATACACCCACATCCACATCCTGTCTTGGAAGGCCTGCAGAGGTTGCTATGGGTCCCTGTTTCCTTGTCAGTGTCCAGCAGGAGGGAGGGAGGGAGAAGGAGAGGGAGACAGAGGGAGAGAGAGAGAAAAAAAATGCTAATTTTCCCCCAGAAATCATGGACACAAATCCTTCCCTTCAGCCAAACTATGGAAGAGTCAACACACTCATCCCTAGACCAGTGGCAATTGGTAGGAGATGGCGATGTACTGCCCCTGACCCTATTACCTCTGAAGGAGAACCTGGGAATCAAATCAGAGCTCCACAAGTGTGGGGACCTAAAGGCCCCACCTTTCAGAAGTCTGAGAGGAAGCTACTGGGGCATGGCCTGACTTGTTTTAAAAGTCTGAAGGATACTTCCACACTGCTGAGGAGTGCATGATCAGCACGTGACCATCCTCGAGATACACCCTCAGGGGGGAGGGGGCTTTCCAGGTGCCTTTGTAAGCTCTGTAACACCTGCAATAAATGAGTCCCTGCTTGA